CGGGACAACCCCATTCTCCTGGCTGTGTTAAACATACTGTGCGAGGAGTGGAGACAGCATGGTTTTAATAAATGGCATCTGGATCATTCCATCATATGGAACAAAGACTGACCAGTGACTCAGCACACAGTCGACTCCATTGGGTTACGAACCTTGGAGAAGGGAAAATCATAAAACGTTTAGATGAAGGCATGTTTTTTTAATTACTTAAGGACAAGGAACAATTTCTTAAACAGAGCACAGTGCACTAATTACAATAAAAATATTTTCCATATTTGAGTACATTAAAAATAAAAATGTTGATTCATCAGAAGAGAGCATAAGTGAATGAAAAGGCAAGATATGGAAGATACTAGAACACACATAACTGTCAGTGCTCTAGCATTTACACACACACACACACACACACACACACACGCACGCACACACATATACTATATGTCATTGACTCTGTGCATCCCTCCCTGTCCCCAGAACCCACAGTGATGTTTGCTAAGGAGCAGCAGGCACGCAGCGAGGTGCAGGCTGAAGTGGGAGCGAGCGCCACACTGAGCTGTGAGGTGGCCCAGGCCCAGACAGAGGTGACGTGGTACAAGGATGGCAAGAAGCTGAGTGGGAGCTCGAAGGTGCGTGTGGAGACCAAGGGCTGCGTCCGGCGGCTGGTGCTGCAGCAGGCTGGGAAGGCGGACGGCGGGGAGTACAGCTGCGAGGCCGGGGGCCAGAGGGTCTCTTTCCACCTGGATGTCAGAGGTAGGTTCTTGGAGACCTGAATTTTTTGGAGTTGATGGGACCAATGTTGAGCTCAGATCCTCCCTAGTCTTCTCTGCAGCTCTCACATCTCCTATCCTCCTCCTGCCTATTTGTCCTCCTATGACTGGGCCAAGGGTGGCTAGATTGGAAGGGTGTGTTTGGAAGGAGAAGGGCCATTTATGTTCTTGAGCGGTATTTCCATACAATAATGTTTTGTATGTTCCCGGCACCGTCTGGTTTTCTCTTTTTTTCCGGAGTCCTCATAGCTTGGCTTTTGAGTCTGCAGTAGACCACGTGACTCTCACTTGTGGACATGTCTCCTGTTAGAACATTCCGTGTGGAACCCTTTTGCAGTCTGATATATAGATTAGACATGGAGTGGAACAAGGAGCTTGTGCCACACCGGCACACTTTGTCAGATGTGAGCTCCTGTGGCAGTAGCCTGACTGGCCAAGTAACACTTACGTCATAGGGTTTCCTAATGACTCATGTGTGTTGTCTGTGCCTCCTTGGTTGGTTCAGAGAGAAGGCTGAAAAATAAATGTACTGTTTTTTTGTTTGTTTTGTTGAGAGTCTTAATGTTAAATAGAGATGGGCTGCAATCCCATATTTGACTCCCAGGTGCCACCACAAAACAGTGTGGCGTTGTGTCTGTGTCCATGGTTTGTGGGTGTGTATGATACCAAAACATGCTTTGTGTCTTTGGGGAACTTTAGTTAAAGAGAATATGACAATTTTTTTTTAGGTAAAAAATTCGAAAGTTGTAACATGTGGCTAATTCCTAGAAAACTATATCACAACAGACACAAGGGGAAATAGAAAACTCAAACAGTCCTATAAGCTCTGAAGAAACAGAACCAGTAATAAATCTTTTCATAGAGAAAGGCCTAAGACCAGCAGCTCTACTGATAAATTATATCAAATATTCTGGGAAGAAATTATTCTATGTTTATGGAGATTCTTCTAGATGATAAAGGATATACAGTCTCTAACTCATTTTATGTAGATAGCATAATTTTGATACCAAAACTTATGAAGAAATATGCAGAATTAAAATTATAGGCCAATCTCTTATGAATATCGAGGCCAAAATCTTAAGCAAGATGTTAATAAACCAAACTGTGCAACATATGAAGAAGACAGTACACATTGATGGGAGTCATAGTCCAAGAATGCATAGTCGGTTTAACGATAGATATATTAGATCGAAATAATGCATGATATCAACTTAATGAAAGAGAAAAATGTTATTATCTTGACAAAGGCAGAATAAAAATGTTCGATAAAATTTATCATCATGTCTCCTAAAAAAGTATTTGATAAAATTTAGCATCAGTTTATGATATAAAATTCTTAAACTATAAATAAAGATGTTCTTCCTTAATTTGGAAAATGGTGCTTCAGGAAACACCAGCTAACATCACTGAAAGTAGAAGATGTGACTTTGGGATTAGAAACATCTTAAGAGGCTTTCGGTCACCACTCTTGTCCAACATTGGACAACACAATAAGGATGGAAAATAAGATACATTAAATTAAAATTTAATTAAATGTGAAATTTAAAAAGATAGAATTTATAGATAATATGGTTATCAGTTCAGAAAATTCAAAAGATTAATGATTAGACTTGGTAAGAGACTTGGGAAAGATTATCACGTTAAAAAAACCGACATACAGAAAACACTTCATATACATATGCTAGCAACAAACACTCAGAAAATGATATTTTAAAAGATTTACCATAGCTTCAACAATACCATTTTCTAATTCCAGATCTAATAAATGAGGTTTGACTTTAAGGGTGTTAAGTGGGTAAAATTATTACATGTTTTTGAGAGACAGTAGGAAGATCTGGAGAAAACAGAAGCTATGGGGACTCAGAGCTGTTCATTCCTACACAAGATCGGAGCTAGTGCTTTTGATGGAGATGGATGCTGACAGATCGATTACAAAGCACTGTCCTAGAGATAAGCAGGGTGACAGCGTTTGTTGTACCAGGCTTATCACTGGGCTTCAGTGATGAAGACAACGTGGTGCAAATGCAGATGCATAACGGACCGAAGGGATGAAATGTTGCCCTCAGCAGCGCTCTATGCATATACCCTTCATCTTTTTGTTTTTCTTCCCACGTTGCTAGTGCCAGGTGTAGAGTTAGGAGGTCTTTTTATAAATGATGCTAAGATCATTAACCATATAAAAATAAAATAAAATTGGAACTGCCCCTCACATCAAATGCAGACATTAATCTAGGTGGGTTAGAGACCTCAGTTTGGCAGGTAACACTCTTAGCAGAAGTATAGATGACTTCATGACCTCAAGGTTATGGCAGACTTTGTAAACAGGACATAAATGCAAAGGACAAATTTATATATTTGTTTATATTAAGATTAGGAATCTTATTTTATCAGAAGACACCATGAAAAAGTGCGATGGCAAGACACATAGATGGAAAGATTTTTACAGCACACGTAACCTTCTACTCTTTAGCATTTAAATAAATAACGAGCCCCTAAAATGAGTATGAAGAGAAAGCCAATTATATTGAAAGTGGCTCAAATATTGAACAGCAACATCACCACCAGCAAAACTAATGATCAAAAATATCAGAAAATGTGCACTACTTTAAAGTTTAAAAAATCTAAAAGATAGCCACAGGGGTACAACTCATTCCCCCCGGATGCCAACAGGGTGACAACTCAGAGAGCAGGTGGAAGGGAGCTGTGGGAACTCCACTGAACTACAGTGGCAACATGCCCTCCACAATTGCCAGGGAGATTCTGTGTCTGTCTTCTGGGAAGGCGCATGTATATGCCTCCTGGCCCTGCGGTCCCTCTCCTAGAGGCCGTATGCTCCAGAGAGTCTCTCACAGTGTCCCCACTTGGAAGGGCCATGTGGGCACTGGTCATTGTGCAGATAAGTGTGCTGCTTGTCGCTGACAAGGCAGTGGGGCTGCTCCAGGCCACCATCTGATGCAGTGCCTGGAGGAGTTTCCAGGCCTCCCGCCTCCATGTGTAGTCTTTCTCAGTGCCGTCCTCCTGACTTAGAGAGTGTCATTGACCACGTACATCCTCCTTGTCCCCAGAGCCCATGCTGGTGTTTGCCAAGGAGCAGCAGGCACGCAGTGAGGTGCAGGCTGAAGCGGGGGCCAGTGCCACGCTGAGCTGCGAGGTGGCCCAGGCGCAGACAGAGGTGACGTGGTACAAGGATGGCAAGAAGCTGAGTGGGAGCTCGAAGGTGCGTGTGGAGGCCAAGGGCTGCGTCCGGCGGCTGGTGCTACAGCAGGCTGGGAAGGCAGACGGCGGAGAGTACAGCTGCGAGGCCGGGGGCCAGAGGGTCTCCTTCCACCTGGATGTCACAGGTGGGTTCTCACATTGCTGTTTTAGCTTTGATCACAGGTGACAATGGGACTGGCTTATGTCCAGATAGACCCTGGTGCCCTCTTCAATAGATCTCATCTCTTCACATATCCCATTCTCCTACCTCCCATTTGTATACCCACGGCTGTGCCCAGGGACCTTGGATGGGAAGGGTGTGCACAGAAGGGAGAGGGCCCTTCTTGTATGTCTTCATGGTGTGTCCATATTCAATGCTTGGTCACCTTCCCCAGCACCTCCTCACAATTACCATTGGTCCTGGGTATCTGGGAGTCTGATCCTATCCAGCACATAGGGCTGAGGTAGACCAGATGTCCCTCACCTGAGACTGGTCTAGCTGCACCCGCACATTTGCCTTCACAGCTGTGAGACTGGGGGCCAGCAGGTCTCCTTCCTCCTGGATGTCACAGGTGAGTCTTGGGATGTTACATTAGCCTTCTATGGAGGTTTTGGGGCTTGCTTTTAGCCTCAGCAGACTGTACACTTACCTTTACACTTGATCTCTTCATGTCTCCAATCTTTCCATCTCCCATTTTCATACCGATTTTAGGCTAAGGGAGGCTTGATCGGAGTGGTGAGCATCAAAAGAAGGGTTGCTCTGTAAACCTCGGGTGGGGCCCGCATAGTAACACTCAGTCGCATGTCTCAGCACCTGCCCACAGTCTTCCTGCTGGTCCTTGGTGTCAAGGACTCTGGCCTAACCTGATGCTTGGGGTCTGAGGTAGACCAGGTGTCTCCCGTTTGGGTATGTAAATTTTCTCTCATCGTGTCTTCTGGCCACCTCTACATGCCATCATTCAGCTCCTCATGCCGATTCTTGCCAGTGAGAGATGTTTCAGTTTCACTGAAACTAGGTTAGGAGACATTTTCGCCACATAATCATACCTGGAATTATCTGAAGAGTGAATGTTGGGATATCAAATTTGAGGTGTCTGGGACACTATTCTTTCCTTTTCAAGGATATAGATGCTTTGTGTTACCCACATGTCACAAAATATAGGTATATATTTTGCTGTTTTTTGTGCAAAGGGAAAAAGGAATAGACGATATTGGTAGATATTTGTGATAATTTAAGATTAGTGTTTTAAAGCAAACGCATTTTGTTTTTGTTTTCAGTTTGGATGTTCAGTGTAGAATTCCCCTCCAGTTACATTTATAAACTTAGGAATGGGAAGGAAAAAGTAGTCTCTGTGACATCTACATGCTTTGCTACCAAGGACTTACTGTGGAGCCTCTGCTTAAGCAGTATTTCTTTTTCTTTAAGATAGAAATTCTATGCAAATTAAGATGAGTTTCTTCTCTCTTTTTTTTTTTCACTCTTCTTTTTCAGTTTTATTAAGATATAATTGATTTACATCACTACAGTTTAAGGTGTACAGCATAATGATTTGACTTACATACATTGTGAAATGATTATTGCAATAAGCTTATTTAACACTCATCATCTCATATATATACAGTAGTAAGCACACTTTTAAAAAACTTAATTTATTTCTTTTATGGTGGAATTGGTTAATGAAAGTCAATAAGTTTCAGCTGTACACTTTAACAGTAAGGCATATATATATTTACACTGTGTGTTCATCTCCCATAGTTAGTTAGATTTCTTTCTGTCACCACATATGTGACCCCCTTTACCCTATCTCCCCCTCCCTCCTCTCCCCTCCACTCTGGTAATCACTAGTCTATTGTCTATGTCCTGTTCCTCTGTTGCTTTTAGGTTTATATTCCACATATAAGCGATATCATGTGATGTTCAACTTTTTCTGTCTGGCTTATTTCGCTTAGCATGATTATCTCGAGGTCCATCCATGTTGTCACAAATGGCAGTATTTCATCTCTTCTTATGGCTGAGTAGTAGTCCATTGTATATATGTACCACAGCTTCTTTAGCCAGTCATCTATCGTAGGACACTTCGGTTGCTACCGTGTCCTGGCCACCATGAATAATACTGCTATGAACATTGGTGTGCAAATATCTTTTTGGATATGAGTTTTCAAGTCTTTGGTGTAAATACCCAGGAGAGGGATTGCTGGATCGTATGGTAGATTAATTCTTAGTTTTTTAAGGAACCTCCATACTGTTTTCCATAGTGGCTGTACCAATTTGCAGTCCCACCAGCAGTGTATAGGGTTCCTTTATCTCTGCATCCTCTGCAACATTTGTTATTACTTGCCCTGTTGATTATAGCTATTCTAACAGTTGTGACATGGTATCTCATTGTGGTTTTGATTTGCATTTCCCTAATAGCTAGTGATGTTGAACATCTTTTCATATATTTGTTGACATTTTGTATGTCCTCTAGAGAGAAGTCTGTTCAAGTACTCTGACCATTTTTTGACTGGATCGTTTGAAGAAACAATAGATTCTTAAAGGAAGAAATACAAGAAAGGAAGGAGGAGGAGGAGAGATTCTTACCTATGACCACTTATATGGAAAGAAATGATGGAATATTTCTTACAGTTTCTCACTGGGGAAATTATATGTCAGGCCTAGACTGGTGTTCTCCATGCACATTAAAGCAAAACTGTTATAATATCTGCATTAAAATAGTGCCTGTATC